ACACTTTAAAGGTGTTTATATATAAATTAAAAATAAAAGGTGATTTCTATAGAATTGCCATATTTTAAAGGTGGTTTCTATAAAAAAAAAACCTTGCAAAAACTTCTAGTTGAATTAAAGATTAGATTTGTTTCACTATAGAAAAGGTCAGGTATGCATAGTTGAAATTACTTCCATTATTTTCCAAGCTTAAAATGACCGTAGTAGGCAGCTGACAACCAGCATAAAACCTAGTTAGATATATATATAATAGGAATCCTATATAATATTCATTGGAGCATCTCCACCAAATGCGTCATGTTGATGGTAGGCAGTGCAATGATAAGTATATAACCGCAGTTTGGTGGGGCACTCCCTTGAAGAGACATGTTAATCGATGTGAGTATATTAAGAATTGTTTTGGTAACACATTGGTCCTTAAATAGTAACAAACATAGAATGGGTTACAAGTTACAAAATGAAGCAAAACTGACAAAAACTCATTGGAAAACCTCTAGTTCAATTAAGATTAGATTTGTTGATCAAGTATGCATACCTAAAATTACTTCCCATTATTTTCTAAACTTAAGATGATTGCAATAGGTGGCTGACAATCAGCATAAAACCTAGTCAAATATAATATGAATGCTAAATAATATTTATTAAAGCATCTCCATCAAAGGCGTCAAGTTGATAGCAGCTGGTGCAATAAAAAGCAAGGTTTTAAATGTCGGTCGACTTGTCGGACATGTCGGTTTGAGGGCTTGAGCGACACGACATGCACGTTTTCAACTCGTATGTCAGTTTTCAGGGCCAAATCGAAAATATCGGGGTCATATCGGGCATATCGGTCGATTTTTCAGCTTTGAAAAATAGACCGATATGACCCTTTTTTAGATCTATTTTTTGTTATCGGGTTTGACTTTAGTGATAAAAACCCAAATCTGTTTGACCCGTTCTCATGTTTAAGGGTTTCTTATGAACCCGATAGAAAAAAAGAGAAAAATTAGGGTTGCAGCGAACTTAGGAACCCATCACTCCTTTCATGAACGACGATGTCATTCCCCCACCTTCATCTCCCCCCTCCCCGCGTCGTCCATCTCCTGTTGCGCCTCGAAATTCGAACCACCTGAGGACGGCACGGTATCCCGTCGTCAGGATAAAGGGAATAGCGTGGTCGGTGACTCATCCAAAGGACCTTGAGCAGAGCCCCAGCACTGCCTCCCTACGACGTCGAAATCCACCCATCATCGACGCCGCCTCTAGAATTTATAAAGTATGCTTATATTGAATTTAAGAATGCTTAGATTATATTTAGGATATTATACATATGCGCACCACATGATATGACAATCCGATATTTAGTCCTTGTCCCCCGATATATCTCCGATTTTCACTATCCGACATGAATTTCAGCCGTCCGACATGAACTCGACATTCGACTTTTAAAACCTTGATAAAAAGTATATAAATGTAGTTTGGTGGGATACTCCCTTAAGGAGACCTGTTAAACGATGCTATCTTAGTATAGTGACAAGTGAGCAAGGGTACATTAAGAATTTTTTAGATGCCACATTGGTCCTTAAGAATGATGCCAAATAGTAACAGATAAAGAGTGGGTTATAAGTTACAAAATAAAGCAAATTCGACAAAACCCCCAACTTATTGGAAAAGCTTCTAGTTGAATTAAGATTAGATTTGTTTCATTATTGAAAAGGCCAAGTACATGTACCTAAAATTACTTCCCATTATTTTCCAAGATTAAGATAATTGCAGAAGGTAGCTAACAACCAGCATAAAGTCTAGTTAGATATCTAAAATATGAATCCTAAATAATATTTGTCGGAGCATCTCCACCAAAGGCATACACTGATGGCAGTTGGTGCAATAATAAGTATGTAAGCGCAGTTTGGTGGGATACTCCCTTGAAGGGACATGTTAATCGATGTCATCGCAGTGTAGAGACAAGTGCACAAGAGTATATTAAGATTTTTTTTGGTGCCTCATCGGTCCTTAAGAATGATGCCAAATAGTAACAGCCATGGAGTGGGTTACAAGTTACAAGATAAAGCAAATTCGACAAACCCTCAACTCATTGGAAAAACTTCTAGTTGAATCAAGATTGGATTTGTTTCATTATTGAAAAGTTTAGTTTACTTTGAAATCTAGTTTGGTTACCATTGGCTCTATGTTATTTGGATTTTGACTTCTTTTGTTTAGTTTTTAGTAGGATGTGAATCCTATTTATTTCGATTTCACTCCTTTAAGGCTATAATATACATCATTTTATTACGTTTTCATTAGAGAACACTTGATATTTTGATAATTTCGAGAGTTCAGACTGCACCTTGGTGTAAGACTACAAGCACCTAACCTCAAATGTATACTTCCCAATCTTCTACTTCTTTTCTTTCCAGCTTAATGTTTACTTGACGTTTTTTCAATCACATGGACTTTATTCACACTAATTAAGAAGAAGGATTTTATCCAATCCTCTATACTTAAATGATTGACAACATCCAATCATGTTGCTTCCTCAATCTACCATCGACATCAAATCAGATGCATTCTCACCCCAAAACCCCCCACACAAAATGATGACTGCATAACCTGAAGACTCTTAAAATCATATCCCACCCAAAAAAAACCACACAAACTCACGAGCATCCAATCAAGATACTTCATTAAAAATTTGTGCTCCAAGAATATTAGCCTTCAGCTTTAATTTCAGAATTTACTTCACTGTCTGATCATTTCAACAAATTTTTGGACCTATGCTGACAAAAGAGATTTATCAGATATTTTAAGCTTCTAAAATACCCAATATCATTGCCTTTGTTAACTTTCAATATAAACACTGAGTAAACACTAAAAAAGACCTTCCTAACTACACCGCAGCTATCCAAGTGTTTCCTCCTTAACATATTTTTGGACCTTATTGGCTAACAAATTGAAGACTTGAGCAACATTACTTTACATTGTTGCTTTCTTACAAAAGTTTTTCCCGAGCCATATAAGACAAGGTTATTCACTTTAGCAGTATATTCAGTGTTATCTTCAAGCTATGATATAATGCAATCGCTCGGTCTACTACCTTTGTAAAAGTCCTCATCTACCAACAAAAATAAAATCATTATAATGAACTAAAATCCTTCAGGAAGAAGTTTTCTTCAAAGGGATTTTTTTTTTAAAAAAAGACTTTTTTGCTAAATAATTAGCAAAATCGACCATTTTGCTAATTATTTAGCAAAATCGATCTCTTTTTGGCCAACAAGAGGGCGATTTTAATAAACACCGTGCTCAAAATATACGGGACTACTAGTCTCGTGTGTTTCCCACAAACTTCCCTGCCAAATCCCTCCCACTCCTATCTCTCGGCTCATCCGTCCCCTTCTCACCTCAGTTCACAAGGGCACAAGCGCGTTCATCCTCCTCCTCACAGCACGCCGTGGTCAATGCTCCGAGCACTGGCGGACGGATTTCAGGGCTCGGCGCGGCGGTGGAGAGAGAGGCAGATGAGGAAACCCGAAGAGATGGAAGAGCGCTTGCTGCTGTTGGAGGGCGAGGATGCATGCGAGCAATGACGGGGAGGAGGAGAGGTAGAAGCGCATGTGGCGCTGGCCCTCGGAGCAGGTGAGGGCGAAGGCGAAGACGTGCGGTAAGAACTGGGGGATGATGGCTCGCGATGGCTGGTTGAAGGAGACTGGGATGCTAGCGGAGAGAGGTGTTGCCGAGCGACGAACGGAGGCAGAAGATGGCGGAAAGGGTGGCGGATCTGGAGGAGCTGCCTGCGGAGGAGCATGGGCTGGAAGGGGACCGGCGGAAGAACGGAGGAAAGAGGAAGGAGTAGAAGGAGGCAGGAGATCGATGTGGAGGGCGTGAGAAGATCGGGTAGCAAGTACCGTAACGGAGAGGAACGTACTTGTTGAGAGGAGGAACGCCGATATTGGGGCAGACTAGAGGGAGACTGACGACGACGGTGTGAGGGAGGACGAGGCGGCGGTGGTGAACGTCGAGGGAGAAAGGGAGGATGAGGGAGAGGAAGGAGTGGGGAGGGGATTTGGCGGGGGAGTTGTGGGGAAACATACGGGACTAGTAGTCCCGTATGTTTTGAGCACGGTATTTATTAAAATCGACCTTTTTTTTGCCTGTTGGCCAAAAAAATGTCGATTTTGCTAAATAATTAGCAAAATGGTCGATTTTGCTGATTATTTAGCAAAAAAGGTCTTTTTTAAAAAAAATCCCTTCTTCAAACTTTGCTGTGTCGAATGTACATGCAGACAGAGAAAGAGACTGATAACTTTTGATGCAGAAATCTATACATTATCAATTCCTTCGCAATTGAGACTCACTTGTATTGACTCAACATCCTTGAAAAGTTCGACTAAACCTCAAGAACTGTTAAAGAAAACTCAGAAAAAATAATAAGAAAACACAACCCAAGTACTGAATTCAATCGGTAATTCAACAAAGCATCATGAACTTCAAATACCCAAACTGTGAGATAAGCATTTGTTTAAAGCAACAATAATCCCACCCGATACCATCAATTGTTTAATCAGAGAATATTGAAAACCTAAAGACGCAAAATGAGGAAGGAACAACAAACATCTTACTGACAAATGGGTCTTCAACAACGTCAAGAGGAGGCTTATTTGCACTTTGATCCCCCCACAAAGTTTTCCCCTTTATTTAAACTTTAAGACCCCGAAGATCTAGTTTGACGATTTGATTTTCCAGATATTTCAAATTGACCTTTAATTTCACAATTCAATACCCAAAGCCCTAACTTCGTTCCCCACTTTTCCCCAAAAGAAAACTCCTTTCTTTCCCATTCACTTTTCTACGTTCATCACATCTTTGAACAAAACTAACATCAAATATGGAGCATGAAATTCCCAAACCACAAATTCAAGATACCAATGCTTACCAAAGCTAAAAAAAAGAAAAGAACGAAGCTTTTAGGGAATCCAACTCCAAATAACCCAGAATAATCAATAAACGAATGAAGATATTAATACCTCTACTGCCACTTCATCAATCTCCTTCGTCTCCGCGGTGTCTCCAGAAGCAGCAGCAGAGGTCGTGAACGCTGGAAACCGAGGAGACGGTTTCGAAGGCGAGCGAGAGAGCTTGAGCTGAAGAGGCCTCGCTGGCCTTCGCCCAGGGGAGGAGAAGCTAACAAGAGCTCTTGGGCTCTCAGCAGAGGAGACGCCAAAGAGCGAAGAGGAAAGAGGAAGCGCCGGGGTTCTGAGGATTGCGGCCATTTGACTCCGCGCAGAGAGAAGCAGAGAGACGCGGAGAGACCCGGGCGAGGATAGAGGAGAGAGGTGGAGATTTTACGGGAACGGCCCAACCGGCCGGAAATGGGCCTTTAATGTTGGCTCGGGAATTATCTGGAAGCGACTCCGCGGGGTTTTTTTTTTTTTTTTTTCCCCCCCAAACCGGGCTGTGGGGTTGTTCTCGTTGAACAAATGAGATTTTAGTGCAAGCTCACAATCGAATTATTATGCCGCACATACTATTGCGACAAGTATATGGATGGTGTCAATTTGTCAACCATCGCGCCAACGTCTCCACGATGCGTGCAAATTCACCGAAATCTTATTAGTGGTGAAGCACCGTAAATTGGATACCTTCTCCTAAAAACTTCTCTATCATCTCATTCAAAGTCATATAAACTAGATAAATGAATCCCATCAAATCTTCATCAAGTAAATCGCTCTAAACTTGCAAGAGCTTCTAAAGTTTTGCAGTACACCACTAATAACTTATAAAATCGCACGGGGTCAGTTCTGAGGAAGGTGATAATAATATTGCTTATTTTCATAAAATAGCTAATGGCAGGAAAAGAAATAATCTGATTTCTTCAATTACAGTGAATGATGTAGAGGTCAGTTCTGAAGAAGGTATTGCTCAGATTTTTTCTAATCATTATAACCAGATTTTTGGTCAGAAAGAACCTTTTAGATGTCAGCTGGATTGGAAGAAGCTGTTTCCCTTGGAAGATTGGGGTTCTAAAGAATTAGAAAATCCTTTTTCAGAGGATGAAGTTTATAAAGCTATTTGTGATATGAATGGTGATAAATCTCCTGGCCCAGATGGATTTTCTGCCTTGTTTTATCAAGTATTTTGGGAAACAGTGAAAAGTGATGTTATGAAGCTGTTTGTGGAGTTTTACGAAGGTAAATTGGAAATAAACAGGCTCAATTATGCTCATATTGTGCTTATTCCAAAGAAAAATGAAGCTTCCATGGTTAATGATTACAGACCTATCAGTCTTTTAAATGTGATTTACAAATTGATTACTAAAGTCTTGACTAATAGGTTGAATCCTAAGCTTGAAAAGCTTATTGATCCTATCCAATCTGGTTTTATTAAAAACAGATTTTTGATGGATGGGGTGTTAGCAGCTCAGGAAATCATTAATGACTGTTTTCAGAATGACAGAAAAGGATGGATTTTATTAAAGTTGGACTTTGTTAAGGCATATGATATGTTAGACTGGGATTTTATCTTGGAAGTTATGAGAGCCAAAAATTTTGGAGCTAAGTGGCTAAATTGGATTAAAATGTGTTTAAGAGGGGGTATGTTTGCCATTGATATAAATGGTAAAATTCGGAGCTGGATTATGTCTAAGAGAGGGGTTCGTCAAGGAGACCCATTATCTCCTCTTTTATTTGTTTTGGCAGCTGATTCCTTTACTAGGATGATGAGTTTAGCTGTAGATTCTCTTCTTATTGAAGGTTTAGGTCCGATTAATATGCCTCATAAAATCTGTTGCTTACAATATGCAGATGATACATTGATCTTTTGCAAAAACAAAAAAGAGCAGTTGACAGTGCTAAAACTGATTCTATATTGTTTTGAACTTGCTTCTGGCCTTAAAATAAGTTTTAACAAGAGTATACTCATTGCCCTTGTCTTCTATGCCAATTTTTTGGCTTTCTTTCTTTTTATTTCCTAAGTGGCTCATAGAAAAAATTGACAAGACGAGGAGAAGGTTTTTGTGGACTGGTTCTCTTGACCATAAAGGTTCCTCTAATTTGGTCAATTGGGAGGAGGTTTGTAGACCTAAGCAGTTTGGGGGTTTGGGGATTGTAAATTTAAAAATCATGAATAAAGCTTTGTTGGGAAAATGGTGGTGGAAATGGTTTGATAATAAATTGGAAATATGGAAACAAATCAGTTTTTGCAAATAATTTGAGAGGAAAAGTTAGACAGAATTTTTTCATTCCGGCAGAAACATGTTAACTCAATTTTGGAGGAATTGTTTTGATAATATTGGTAGCTTTTTATGCAGCACTCTTGTGGATGTGGGAAAATGTGATCGAACTTTATTTTGGCGGGATAAATGGGTAGGATCCTATACCTTGGCTGCGGTTTATCCCTCTCTTTTTAATATCACTTCTTTTCCTGGATAAATGGGTAGGATCCTATACCTTGGCTGCGGTTTATCCCTCTCTTTTTAATATCACTTCTTTTCCTTTTGCACCCATTAGTAGTGTGAGAAAAAAGGTTAATAATGAATGGATTTGGAATATTCAATTTAGTAGACAACTAACTGGGAATTATGTTCTCCAATATCTTAAATTGATGAATGATATTAGTGATTTTAATTTTGATCAAAGGGAGGACAGGAGAAAATGGATTTGGGATACTAAATTTACAGTTAAATCCTACTATCATTTTCTTATTGATGGGGGTTTAAGATTTGATTGTTTAAATCTCTGGAAAATTCATGTTCCCTTAAAAGTGAAATTTCTTGTATGGCTGGCTTTAAGACAGGGGCTGAATACAAAAGATAAGCTAGAAAAGAAGGGTATTCACTTGGATTCAATGTGTTGTCTATGTTCAAAAGAGGAGGAAAATCACTTCCATTTATTTGTGGACTATGAGTTTGTATATTCTACATGGAGATCTATTCAATAGGAGGAAAATCACTTCCATTTATTTGTGGACTATGAGTTTGTATATTCTACATGGAGATCTATTCAATATAAATTGAATATTGATAAGAGTTTTAAGTTGAATTCTTTAAAAGATATTTGGATCAATTGGAGTATGGATAAGGGAGCTAAATGGAATGAGGAAAGAGATGTTACTCTATGTTCTCTTATTTGGTGTATTTGGCAGGAGCTAAATGATAGAATTTTCTCAAACAAGAAGAAGAGAGCTCTGGAGGTTTTGAACAAAGTTCTGATCTTTTCATCATTTTGGTTAGGTTCTAAGCATTTATCAGCTCGAACTGCCAGACTTCAAGAGAGGAGAAAGAAGAAAGCTGTTGTTGGGCAATCTACAGCTGGAATGCTTGCGAGCGCTGTGATTCAGCTGGAATGATTTCTGCTTTCAGTTCTATAAACTTGTTTTGTTTTCAGATGGTTAAAACTCTATTCGTAGTTAAGATAGTCTACTATCTGGTAGTAGTAGTAGTTGACAGCTTCTTTATTCATGCTGGAGATGGGTTACTCTGCAGTGGCAGAGCTGGAGCATGGTTTGGCTTCTTTTTGTGGGGGAACAAGAGTTTTTCTTTTGGTTTGTAATTTCTGTTTGAACTCAAGTACACATTCTTATTGGTTGGGAATGCGTATCTTCTTGTATCAGCCAATTTTTTGATTAATTTAGCTGGCTGGACTACTGTTATGATTAACAGTAGTCCATCCTTTCTCTCGGGGTCTCCAACGACTATTGGAATTGAGGAGAACTTCCTAAAAGCTTTTCTGTTTTGCAGATAACCCGCGTGATGCACAGCTTAGTTCCACACTTCTCGTTGGCTGATGGCTCTGATACCATTATGTCACGCTTTCGATACCATTATGTCACGCTTCAAGCCCACGAACCCGTCAACACGTTGGACCCGCTGAGTGCAATACATAATTTCCTAGGGATCCATTCTGGTACTATTCTCGCACAAGCATTCGATTAACTAAAAAAATTGTTTAGCTAATCCATTATAAAAAATGGTTAGCAATATTGCATTTAAAATGGCTAGCAATTTTGCATTTGAATCGTAAGACTTACCGTTTAAACATATCAATATGTCCCCACACAAGCGATATGGGATTACTAGCTGGGGCGTCACAAAGACCCTCCCCCTCCCTACTTGCGATCATCTTTTGCCAGCCAATTAAGTGAGTTTTTTTTTTTTGCTATTATTCCTGCGCCATATTTTTTCTATTTTCTATTTTCTATTTTCTATTTTCATTCATCTACTTTCGGGGTACGGTAGGGTTGACAAGTAATAAACTGGATGGTTAGAGCATCTCCAACAGCTTCCTCATTTCTCATTTTTAGAGAATTTAGTTAGGTTTTTTGCCCAACAGATTCCCCATCTCATTCCCCAAAATAGGGATGGAGGAGAAAAAATAAGGAAGCTTCCCCAAATCTGCAGCATTCTCCAAATTTTTGGAGGAAAAAATGGATTCTTCAAAATAGGGAAGCTGTTGGAGTTGGTGCAAAAATTAGTTGAAGAATATGACTTTTGCTTCTCCATTTTGAAGAAAATTTTGGAGAAACTGTTGGATATGCTCATAGATAGGCAACTCTTGAGGAGAGTTTGTCTCCCTCTGTTAGGTAACAACTTGGTCTTAATTTCAACATGCAAGTCTTCTTTCCATTCTTGATATAAACAGTGTGCTAAAGGGTTTGACTATGTACTTTTGCAGCAAGAGGCAATCGAAGATTAGGTAATGAAAAACCTACCAACCTTACATCCGACTAACAACTACTCCATTTAAATTTGGATTTCCTCAATAAGAATGAGCTCACTTCTCCCCACGCATTAATCTTTACACCAAATATCACTTGAAAATGTGCCAAAAGAGTATTATTATCTGTGTATAATAAATGTGAGATGAAGCTGCTCTTTTGGCCTTTATCCACTTGAAAACCCTTTTTTTCATAGTTTTTTGAGCCATTAAATTTAATTCTTCCATGGTGAGACGAATAGAAACGAAGGTAATGTTCACAACTTGAAATTTTGTCTTGATTATAACAAGCATCATCTCTAGTATATATTTCTATATTTCCCTTCAAGACTTCACTCCCTAAGGGCCTGTTTGTTTGCACGGAAGTAATTGTGAAGTAGCTGAAGTAAAAGAAGTAGAGGCTACTTCTGTTACTTCCAAGCAAAAAAGTGTGTTTGGTTTTCTGAAAAACTTACTTCCAATACTTCCCTAAATGCTTATGTGGCGCATACGTGTCATCCTTACTTCCAAAATATTTTTCCAATCCTTAATACTCAGAAGTAGCTCGGAAGTAGTTGAAATGCATATTAATTATGACATAAATAATTTTTTTATTAATATTTCCTTTATTAGTTACTTCTAACAACTTTTCATTGATAAAATTACTTCCTAATAATATTTTCAAATGTTATCCAAACAAAAAAAAAGCAA